GAGAACGGAAGCCCCGAGTCCCATCACACAGCACAGGCATTTGGAAAACATCACGCTGAGTCAAAGCCTCCAGACATAAAAGGTAATCTACTGTACAATCACTGAAATATCCAGAGAAGAGGCAAATCCATGGAGCAGACAGGAGGTTAATGGATATGGGGTTTCTGACGGCCCAGTATTTGTTAAGGACAAGTGCACGATTCTATAAATGTGACAAAAATGTGTGTGACACTGTTGTGTGAATTACACCTGAAAGCTGGCACCACAAATAGGCAAAATGCGGGCATGATGGCGCATGTCCATGACTCTAGGATTCCAGGTTTGACCTCACCTGTGCAAGTTAGTGAGACTGCCTTAAAACGAAACATGAAGTACCTGGGAGGCTGAGACAGATGGAGCATGGCAAGTTCAAGGCCAATCTGAGCCACACAATGAGTTCAAGGACAGCCTGAACTACATAACAAGACTGTTTAAAAAAAAAAAAAAAGTGTGTGTGTGTGTGTGTGTGTGTGTGTGTGTACACAAACATACATATGCTGGGATGCAGTGCAGCCCAGTATAAAGCCTCTGACTTCAGTCCTCAGTAACTTGGAGACACATCTGGGGTCAGCCTGGGCTATGGAGGTCAATAGTGACTATGTAATAAAAACATAACCAGCACCAAGAAAGACCCACACAGAAAGACGTCTGATGGTTCGATACATCATCCTCAAGTTACACACAATTGATATTCAACAAATAGAGGATGAGCACACTAACAAAGATTATGTGTACCAAAGTAAAGAGTCACCTGTATGAAATACATATTTTAGACACAGTTAAGAGCTCAGAAACTAATTATAGAGGTCATTTGGCTGATTACCCATACATGAAACCACAGTTTTAAAAAGAATGTGCTGCCTATAATCCTAGTGCTAGGAAAGCCGAGGAAGGAAGAACACCCCGGCTATCCAGTGAGTTCAAGGCCAGCCTGGACTACACAGCAAGACCCTATCTCAAAACAAAACAAAAACAAAACCCTGTCGGGGCATCCATACACACACACGTTTTTTAAGTGTGCACTGTTGGGGCATGACAGGGCATGAGTAATCCCAGTACTTTGGGAGGCTGTGGTAAGAAGACAGTAATTTTTTTCTCGGCACGGATAACTTAGTGAGACCTTGTCCCAAAACAAAAACCGGGCAGGAAGTGTAGCTCAATAGAAAGACCTTGCTTTCAGTCCGCAGTACACAAATAAAAAAGTACAAAACGTGGTCAATGTTCTAAAAAATTGATCAAGTTTTTAGAACATGAGATTCACAAAAAGAAATGCTACCCACGCGTGCAGTTTATTTACTTATTATTTTTGAAATACAAGTTTCACTGAGTACTGAGCTGCCTGGGGTGGGTGTGAACTTTAGGTCCCCTCCCTCCGCCTCCCAGTGCTGGGATCACAGGCATCTGCCACCACTCCCGTGCCACATGTGCTTATGCCCACTTCATTGCCCTCCTGGAATACTTTCCGCAGGTCAGGGTTGAACCAATTCCCAGTCCCAACCCATTCACCACACTGCAAACTGCTAAGTAGAAAAAACATCAGACAGCACTTGGAAGCACTCACAAGCCAAGCTGCTTGGACTACCCATGAGTTTACAACAATTCCTGGGATTCAGCATTAGCTCCTGATTAAACTGATATTCTTTGGAAATCACTACTGAACAATTAAGTCCACTAGCAGTGTAGGGACCTACGTGCAGTCAAGGCCAGCCTTGCTTGCACCTGTGGCTATCCTCCTGCCTCAGTCTTCCAAGTGCTAGGAATATAGGCATGCACCACCACACCAGGTTCTAGACACACTGAATTCTTGTGCAATCATCTCTCCAGTTTATTCATTCCAAGACTAAGATGCTCTTCTGGGCACTGAAAATACAGAGAAGACAAAGCCAAGCTGGGCAGACGACGGCAGATCACTTTCATCCCAATACTACAGAAAGCTCACAAGCATGAATTCACAATGGTCAACTTCGTATAATTTAGACTCTGTCTAAAGACTCTGTCTCAAAATTAAAAAATAAAAAAAGCTAAAAAGAGTAAAACAAAACAAAACTGCATGATAGCACACACTGAGGCAGAAGGATCACTGCACACATTGTGTGTTCAAGGCCAGCCTGAACTGCTCAGTGAGACCCTGTATTACCAAAAAGAAAATGTAAGTAACAAGGAAATTTTATTTTTGTAAATGCATGTCTTACATGTCAACGTCAGGAAGAATTCCCACAACTCTTACACATTGTCAATGTCCAGTCTGTTCCAAACACTAAAAAATCACAGGGATTTGGAAAGCATTAGAAGAAGTCTGGTGTGGTGGTGCACACCTGTAATCCCAACATCCTGGGAGGCTGAAGCAGGAGAATTCCATGTTTTAGCAGGGCCTGGGCAAGTTAATGAGCTCCTCAAAATAAAAAAGGGTGGAGAATGCAGGTCAGGCTTTGGAAGGTTCCCGAGTACAATCCTTACTACAGAAGAAAAAATATAACTTCCAATGACAAGTTTCCTTCCCTTTCTTAAAGCCCCGAATGGTCTACTTTACAAAAATATTCAAAACTGGAAATCAAAGTATTTTGCGTCCACACAATCCTGCCGGAGGATGACAGTGGGTTGCTGGAAGAAGCTTTCACAGCCGAGCTCTTCAAACTGCTGAAGCATCAAACCCCACTAGCTCCAAACCCGCAAATCTCAAGTCACTCAATAACCTGAATTGTGTAATATGAGAATATTGTAATCTTGTCTACCTCTAAAAGCAAAAGTGCACTTTAGTACAAAGAACACAGAAACTGGCTCCAAAAAGTAACTTTTGGAAACAAAGTCTAAATTCCTTGAACAATCCAATAATCTATTGGAAGCTTTACTAAAGACCAAAGATTCCGTAATTGTTAGCTAACTTTCCTCTCATCTGCCTTCCAAACGAGGCAGACAACCCAGAACATCCCAGCCAGTCCTCAGCGGCTTTCACATTTTAACTTTCATCAGTAAGCAAAGTTTCCTTATCTGCAGTTAAGTCATTTGCATGTGTGGAATGCTAGCAAAACGCATGGAGGTGGGTTCTTCCCTTTCCTCTTAAGAACTATAAAAAACATTAACTTACTAAACTTAGTAAAGCTTGGGCTTTAAGATGGCAACTATGTTGCCTACCCAAGTAAAATGATGAACAAGGCAGCAATGCCATGGGTTCGATTAGGCTTTCCCTTCTCCCGAGTTGAATATAAACTACCCAAGAGACTTATCTTTCCCCGGTTAAAGTATTGGGTTTGTTTTTTTTTTTTTTTTTTTTTTTTGCATAAGGGTTTTGTTATCTAAAAAACCTTGGTAGAAAGATAATCCCTACCCACATTAAACCTAAAACGTTTTAATAATTGTATGACCAATACAAGGTCATAAAACTGGGCCATCCAAAACCCTGAAACTGAAAACAATCATAAATCCTTTTGAGTAATACTTTATAACTTCCAAGGTCTAGAAATTTCAAGGACTAAAAACTTAGGAAACTTGACAGCTTCATTCATGAAAATTTCCAAACCAGTTTTACGGCATCCAAGACCACTGGCTCAGAAAAACAGTATGTTATTAGAGAAATTCTCTTGACGATAAATGAAGATAAAATTTCACGTCCCAGTAGGCCCAGGCTATATACTACATGAGGTCACACGTCGTATACACACTCCTCCAGAAATGAACCCGAGGACAGAAACCAGAAACCTCACTGAATTGCACAAAACGTTAAGTCAACAAGCAAGTGAAAATAACAATTAAAAAAAAAAAACACGCGAAAATAACAAAAGCATCTGGAGTGAAAGGGAGGTCAACCGCTCAGCAGCGGCACACGACTCATCCGCGAGCCTGGACACAAGTCCTGACACCGGCCACTACGTCCGGGCAAAGTTTCCCACCCTCGTCCGAGGCCCGGCCTCGGGAGCCCCACCGTCGAACGAAGCTGTGCTATTTCCGTTTGGTGCGTGTGCAGGGTGTGTGTGTGTGCGCGTGTGTGTGGTGGGAAGGAGGGGGGATCATTTTATTTCGCTGAATCACAACCCCTCTCCATACCCCACCCCAAACCACCACACTCAGGCACGCCACATAGGAAATAAAAGGGACCATCGCACGGACGCCAGCGAGCACCGATCGCACAAAACAAAGCGCCCAGCGAGGGGGCTGCCAGCCCAGGGGTGGGTGGGTCAAGTGGGCCCGGCGCACCCCGCCAGTCGCCGCTCCCGCCCGTCTCTCGAGCCCTGTCTTCCCGCTTGGCTTCGCGGGCAGCCCCGTCCCAGGCCAGGCAGCCGCTTGGGTCTCGGCGGAGCCTCGGAGCCCGCCCGGAACGCCAGACACCGAGGCGGGGACGCGCTGCCCCGACCCAGGCGCAGGGACCCAGGTGCCGGAAGCAGCGCGCGCCGGGATCAGCCCACGTGAGCGCCGCGGCCCGCACCGCCCCGGAGACCTCGGCCGGGGCACAGCGGCTCCTGCGGCCACCACGTCGGGGTCGAACTTACCCAAGCCGGGGGTCCGCCGCTCCCGCGACCGCCGCTTCCTCCTCCTCCGCCTCCTCCGCCGCCGCCGCCTCCTCCTCACTTGACAAAATGGCGGCGGCAGGAAGTGCCGGGCTCTCGGCCCGCCCCCCGCCCGCCCCCGGCCGGCGCCCGCCGCCCGCCACCCGCACCCCCGCCGCAGCCGCCGGCCGCGCCGCCGCCGGCTCGCGCCGCCCGCCCTGCTCCCGCCGGCCGGCCCCGGCCCGGGCGCCGCCAGCCGCCCCACGCCTCCGGCGCCGCCAGCCCTGACCCCGCGCGCAGCCCTGGCCCGCAGGCCCGGCCCGCGCAGCCCCGGCCTCCCCGCCCCCGCGCCGCGCCGATGGCGTAGGTGGTGGCGCACCGGCCCCATTACGCAATGCAGGTGACGCGGGCCGCGCCGCGGGTCCCCGCCGCCCGCCCCGCGCCGCGCCGCCCGCCGCCCCGAAGGGCACCGCTCCTCACCTGAGACGCTAGGCCGCAGGCCGCCCCCGCCGGCCGGCCGGCCGCTCGCCCGCCGCCGCCCTCTGCGGGCTGCCTGCGCGGAGCCCGGGCCCACTCCGCCGGCCGCCGCGCCCGCCGCTCCGCCGAGCTCACAGGCCCCGCTCGCCCGCGGGCAGCGCCGGACGCCACCGCCACTGCTTCGGCTGCTTGGCTGCGGGAGAGCAGAACAAACAGCCCTGCCGCCGCCGCCGCCGCCGCCAGCGCGCTGACGTCACCGCGCACTCGGCGCGCGCGGCCCCGTGCCGTCGACACCGCCCAGCGTGCGCGCCCCCGCGCCTGTCGCCCGGAGTTAGGACGAGCTTGGGAGCGCTGGCGGGAGGAGGTGAGTGCGGGGTCGGCGGCAGCTGCGCGGGGCTGCCCCGGAGAGGGCCCGCCAGGACCCCGGAAAATGATTAAGGGGAGCCTTTAGACGTAAGGGGGATCCCCGCAGACCCAGAGAAGGAGCCTCGCGGACGAGAGAGGGAACCCCAAAGATGGAGGGGGCTCAGGGAGACGCGCGCAGTGCAAGCTGAACCCACTGAGCCTCAGGCGGAATCGCAAAGCCTGGGGCGCCAGAGGGGCGCCGTCCTGGCGGGAGGGATGCGGGCTGGGACTCCCTGGAGCGGCGACAGGAAGGCGACAGCCGTGGGGACGCACTGGCCCGAGGTGAAGTGAGGGAAAGGTCGGCACAAGCTGTCCCCGGCTCCGGCCTTAGGAGCTGGAGAGTGGAAAGTCCCGACCTCCCAGCCGAGGGCGCCCTCCCGCCCGCCATCCCCGACCAGTCCCCTCCTCCAGGACTCCTGCTGCGTGCCCGGACAGCTCTAGGCTCTGGAGCTTGCAGAGTACCCCACCTGAAAGACGAAGATTCTGATAAACTTCGGGTAGGTTGGTGAAATGTCAGGAGGAGATTAGGGGTAGGGCTCTTGAAGCTTAATGTAATTTTTTTTTTTTTTTTGAGACAGGGCTTTACTGTCCAGGTTGCCCTGAACTCGCAGTGAACCTCCTGCCTCAGCCTCCCAGGTGCTGGGATTACAGCTTTATGTAATTTTACGAAGAATGTTACCCTTGTTCTTTGCAGTGAGCTGTCTCCAGTCCCCCGCAACCCCCCCCCCCAACATCTTTTACATTTTGAGACAGCCTCAGTCCCTGAATTGCTCAGACAGGGCTTGGACTTGCCATCTTCCTGCCTCAGCCTCCCAGAGTGCCAACATTACAGGCGTGGGACACCGTGCCCGGCTTGATTTTGTGAATGTTTCCAAACTTCTGCCTTGAACCTTCCTCTCAGCAGTTTCAGTTCCTTTTTTTCCCTCTCCCCCTCACTAGGTATTGGGGATGGACCCCAAGAAGACCACCACTGAGCTATACATCCCAAGCCTTGTTTTGTTTATCTTGTTTCAGTGCTGAGGATTGAATCCAGGACCTTTGCACTGAGCTACATCTCAACCCTTTTATTGTTATTACTCCGAGACAGGGTTTCTTTAAGTCACTTAGTGACACCAGCTGGGTTTGAACTTGTCACTGTCCTGTCCCAGGGCACAAGAGTGATGGGATTACAGGTGGGTGTGTCTTCACAATCAGCTCCTTTATTTATTTATTTATTTTTATTTATTTATTTTTGTGCCTGGAATCGAACTCATCACCTCACACCTGCCGGGCAGATGCTATGTCACTGAGCTCTATCCCTGGCCCTTGGCTCACTTTTTAAAAGTAGGAAGCAGGCGGGGAATGTAGGTTTGTGGTCAGAGTGCTGGTGTGATCCACAAGGTCCTGGGTTTTATCCCCAACATCTCAGATTTTATAAGTAACAGAAAATTACCTGACAGCTCCTCCTTCCTGAATACACTGATAAAATCGGACACTAGTGGAATCCTCGTATTAATGCCTGTTTATGACCCACCAAGGGCAGTCCTAAACTACCAGTGGCTCCTAACCCAAGTAAAAACTAGATTTTATCCACTAGCAAAAGATTGCCAGGAATGGAAGAGGTCACTTTAAAACTTCCTGCTACCCAGGTGTTGGTAGTTCACATCTGTAATCTCAGCACGAGAGCCTGAGGCAGGAGGATCCCCGGTTGGAGCCCAGTCTGGGTGATTTCATGACACCTTCTCTCAAAATGATTTTTTGTTGAGCCAGGAATTTAGCTCAGTGGCACAGCCCCTGCCTGGCAAGTGCAGGGTCTTGAGTTTGATTCCTGACAAAAAAAATTTTTTTTTGTCTTTTTGCAATAGGTTCTCACTGTGCAGTTCGGGCTGGCCTTGAGCTCACTTTACAAAGAACTAAAAGCAACCCTCCGGCCTCAGCCTCCTGAGGGCTAGGGTTACAATCACGCGCCACCACCCCTGGCCTGTAATCCCAGCACTGCCCTCGGGAGGCTGAGGCAGGCGAATCATTGCATATTTGAGACCAGCCTGGGCTACTAAGTGAGTGCATGGCCAGTCTGAACTGCATAGTGTCTCAAAAATATAAAAACTGCCTCAAAAAGATTTTTCATATATATATATGTATAAGGCCAAGGATTTAGCTCAGCGGCATAAGTGCCTGCCTGGCCAGCATGAGGTTGTGAGTTTGATCCCCAGTATCAAAAAAATAAAAATAAGCAAAAAAAATACAATAGTAACAGTGGTAACGGGGATCATGAAAGCATTTTAGTGCACTAACAAAAAGGAACATGCGGGGGAAATGAAGCGTTCCCATCTTTTTTCCCTTGCCCTACGAGAATGACCGGGTTTGTCAAAGTTTACAGCTTTGATAGGTTTTCTTACAGTAGTATGCTGCCTGACAGCAGCTAGCTGTGTATCCCCACGGAGCCTCGAAAGATTGCCCTGAATTGAGAATTTCTTCATGTGTAAAATACCCTACTAGATTAAAAAAAAATTTAGTATGAGAAAACAAATGTAAAATATCAAGTTAAGCTGGGTGTGGTGGCACACATTGTAATCTCAGCCCTCAGAGGCTGATGCAGGAGGAGCCCTGAGGGCAAAGTCAGAGTGAGCTCCAGGCCAGTCAGGGTTACACTGGGAGACATCTAAAAAAAAAAGACAATCTAGTTATTCATTTGCATATCATTACATGCTGAAATAACTTACGTATTGTGCTAAATAAAATAGCCTCATTTTACCTGCTTTGACTTTTTTCTGTCTTTCTTTTTTATGGGTAGCGGGCATCGAACTCACAACCCCACACTTGCAAGGCAGGCACTTAGGCCGCTGAGCTAAATCCCCAGACTCTGCTTTGACTTTTAAAATACTGTAACTGCTGGAAAATATAAAATGTCCTATATGGCTTTCTCTGGGGGGCCAGGTGTGGGGAGTTGGACCCCGATCTTTCCGGCTGCAAGCACACAATACCCCTCAGCTCTGCACCCAGGAGCCCCTGGCATTAAACTTCAGATGAACTCTGCTAGCCAAAAGAAGAGAAAAACACCCAGCCCTAGCATAAGTTTATTTATTCTGTGTATGTTTGTTATATATAATTAGTCAGGTTGTTACAATGTAAAAGCAACTGTTCTGCATGTGTTGCTTTGTAGCAGGCTTTAAAAAGCATTGGCCTCATTACCCATGAGCGATCTGCCCCATGGGAGCTGGCACCCACCATATCCTCTGAGGGAATTAGCCATTTCCCTAGCGGAGTGGTGCCTTGGTTCACAAACCTAATTCTTTCCACGATTTGGGCATGGAATTCATCCCATGATTTGGGTTGCAACTGAATTGCCAGCAGGTAAGCACCAGAGTCACGGGAAGAGTTAAGTTCATGAACTGAGGTACCGCTGCTTGTATGTATATTTAATTCATTCCCAATTTTTCCATAATAGTATTACAGGCCAGGTGTGGTGGTGCACACCTGTGATCCCAGTGCTCATAAGGCTGAAGCAGGAGGATCTCCATGAATTTGAATTCAGCCTGGGTTACAGTGAGTCCAAAGCCAAATTAAACTACATAGTAAGACCCTGTCTCAAAAAAAAAAAAATTACAGTACATGTCTTTATACATTTCTCACTTGTTTTCCCATACTCTTGGGTGTTTTTGTTTGAGACTGGATTTCACTGTGCAGTTCAGGCTGGCCTTGAACCCACTACAGAGCCCTGCCTGGCCTCGGATACATGGCAGTCCTGCCTCAGCCTCCAAAGTGCTGGGGTTACAGTCATGGATTATCATACCCAACGTTTTTTTTTTTTTGGTGTGTTTTTGTCTTGGGTACCAGGGTTGAACTCGTGACCTCACACTTGCCAGGCAGGCATTTGTGCCACTGAGCTAAATCCCTGGCCCCCACCTTGTTTTTGTAAAGCGGGGTCTCACCGTGTAGCCTAGGGTGACTTTAAACTCACAGTGATCTCCCTGCCTCAGCCTCTCAGTGCTGGAACCAACTGAGGGGCTGTTATGGCTTATGTCTAGATGTCCCCCAAAGCCTCATGTCATCATGGGTGGGAGTTTTTCAGAGGTAGTGGGATCTAGTCTGTGGTGTTGGGATCCAGGGTGTAGGACTAAGGGTGCATGTGCTGCTCCTCTAAGTAGCCTGGATGAGGTATGAGGAACAGACAGAGCCTCCTGCGTGCCATGCACTGTTTTCCCACTGCAGTGCCCTGTGCCATTTCCCCCTCTTTGGAGCCAGCCAGCCAGCCACAGACTGAAACCTCTACACACTGTGATCCCAGCAAAGCCTTTTTCCCTTAGCCTTGGGTATTGGCTATTTTGTCTGAGTCATGAGGACACTGATTAAAGACTGAATTTTAGTTTCCTTTCTGTGGCATATTCCATGCAAATCTTGGATTTATTTTGAAAATGCTGCAGATTGGATCCAGCATCTCTCACAAGTTAAGCACCAGTCCTGAAAAAAATAAAAAGCCGGGCGTGGTATACCACTCAGAGGCTGAGGCAGGAGGATCCTTGCGAGTTTGAGACCAGCCTTGGCTACAAAGTGAGCTCAAGGCCAGGGTGACCTGCACAGTGAGACCCTGTCTCAAAAAGACAAAAACAAAAAAACGTGAGTCCTGTCACTGAACTGCAGCTCCAGCGGCTTAGTCTTCAAGTGTCCTCCAAACATGCCACTTTTCCACAAGACTGCTCTGAGACCTGTGAAGACCCATGCTGCTTTTCCAATGAGAAAAAGAAGTCACTTTGGGGTGTTTTTTTTTGGGGGGGGGGTATTTTGGTATGGAATAGAATTGAGAGTCCACAAATAAACTCACAAAGCTCTGCTGAGTTGGCTTTTGAAAAGTCTCTTCTATGGATCAAATACAGAATGGAATGAAGTCCTTCCTTCACAGAAAGCATGAAGTAAACCATCCTGATTTTGATTTAGGAGTGGCTTCCTAGATATGACATCAAAAGCATGAACAACAAAAGGAAAAATGCAGGCGTGGTGGCACACACCTGTCACCCCAGCACTCAGGAGGCTGAGGCAGGAGGATCACTGAGTTCAGGGCTAGCGGTGGCTTTGATCTCAGGGTGATCCTCCTACCTCAGCCTCTGGCATGCTGGAAGTACTGACACGTGCCACCAAGCCCATCTTCGCTGTCCACTTCAGAAAGGTTCATTTATCTCAGTGCTGGACCCCGGGAATGCACAGACTGCTCCATGCCTGCCCCCAAAACTCTGCGTTTTGGTTTCTGGAGACGGGTCACACTATGTGGCTTCTAGCCTGCCTCGGTCTCCCAGGTGGAGAGTGGAGCACAGGTGCTGCTCGAGAAGTCCCTGGACTATGCTGCCCCACAGCCAGATAAACACCCAGAGAGCATTCTCCAGACCCTTTGTTTTGCTAGACAGGGTCTCACTGTCTAGCAAGGTCATTCAAGGCTGGCCTTGAATCCCAGCAACCCTCCTGCCTCAGCTCCTAGTGCTAGGTCGACAGACAACCATCAGTATCCTGCAGTATTTCTGCAAGCCAGGTAATTCATTACCCATCCGATGGGGGGTACACTACAGAGGCTGGAAAGCTCACTAAAATCTAGATCCACTGCCAGGCACATGGCTCAGCAGCGCAGTGCCCCCTTGCAAGCATTAAGGTTGTGACATAGATTCCTGGGACCAAAAATATTTAGATCAACTAAATGATTGACTCAGGATTTTCTCCATCTTCTCAGAGGTAGTGATTGACCCCAGGGCCTTTGCACTGAGCTACCTCCCGCCCTCTTTACATTTGGGAACAGTTGTGCTGTCACTGAACCGGGGCTGGTTCTGCGGTGTGGCTGTAGCTTCCCATACTGCAGGGATGGCAGACTTATGTCGTGGAACCTAGCAACTTTCCCTTGCTGCTTTAGGACAAAGTGCTGTGGGCTGAGGGCGGCTAAGAGGACTTAGCCATCCCGAAACTGAGGTCCTGGGTTCAATGCCAGCATAAAGCTGTGGAAAATGGGCTTCCGGGGACCAAGCTGACCCTGCAACATGGTCTCACTACACACAGCTCAGGCTGGCCTCCCAAGAGCTGGGTTTATTGGCCTGTGTTCCTGTGCTCCGCTGCCCAGGCCAGGTGCTGGTGACGCTCAGAGAAGGTGAGCAGAAATGATCCAGAGGCAACGTTCTATTGCTTCCCAAGCCGTTTATTTCAGTGTTTAGTTCTAACGTTAACTTCTCCATACAGGTTTGCTTGGCATCTCCAATGGGCAAAGGACCCCATTTATCTTAGGACAGTCATGGCGGCGGCTGCACCAGAGTGCCTGCGCCCCTGCAGCCTTCCAGCTCCCTCCTGGTGGCCAGGCCAGCACTGCTGCACCTGAGGGTGTGACCCACCTTCCACACCCCAGCTCCTCTTCTACAAGAAAAGGTCTTCACCCACAACAGGTCTCCTTAATTACAGGTAGTTCCTAGCTATGCGGATTTAGTTTTCCATCCATGCGAGTGACATACTATTTTCTTTTTAAATGAATTTAAGCAAGATTAACTCAGCTTAAAGGAAAACAGGAAACAACAAAAACAGAAGCCCCGAGGACTGTGGAGGCGGAATCCAAGTGGGTTAACACGAGCTGGCAGCACTGGTCAGGGGTGCAGCCTCTGCCCCAGCAATGCCCAGGCTGAGGTGGGGGGCCCGGCCGGCAAGGCAGCAGCCTGGTGCAAGCCCATCTCTGAGGCCAGGGCTGAGGGCCCCACCCCCAGCACCGGGGAGGAAGCACGGAGGATGCAGGCCAGTGAGCCCTGGGCGGAGCAGGCGCTTCCATCCAGGGACCCCACCTTGGAGCTCACTGCTGGGATGCAGCGACAGCTCGCAGGCTGCAGCAAGTACCACCAACAGGCTGGAGCCGGGCAAGCCAACTTCCTAAGACTCTTTTCTCAATCTATCAAAGAACGGGGAATGTAGCACACAGTGCAAAGGCCCTGGGTCCAATCCCCAGTACTGAAGGGGGCGGGGAAGCTGGGGCCAAAGTAAGTGCCTAAGTTAACAAAGAAAAACACTGCGCGAGCAGGATCCATTTCTATCGCTGAGCTGCTCCTCACCAAGGGAAATGAAGGGGGCAAACACAGGGGTGCCCACCAGGTTCAGCCTGGCCTGCCGCCCAGAGTGCGCAGTGGAATGTGCACCCCCAGCTCCGGCCCCCGCCCAGCCGGGAGCCCTGCAGTGGGGGGCTGGGTGGCCAGCCTCCACCCTGGCATGACTACAGGGCACCCAGCAGCCGCCAAGCCCTGCTCGCCAACCCAAGGGAGTGGGCCACAGACCTGTCGCACCCTGAAATGGAAGGCAGTCACTCCGTGGGAGCGTCAGCTCCGGCCTCGGCATCAGTTTGTCCCATTTCTGCCTCCACAGCAGTGGGGGCAGGAGGGGCAGCGGCGGCGGCATCCTCTGGCCCTGCTGCCTGGGTCGCTGCCTCCCCGCCAGCCTCTGCTGCCTCTCCGGCGGCCCCGGCCCCGGCCCCAGGGTTCTCCCTCTCAGATGCTGCCCCGCTGGAGGCCGCCTCTTCCTGCCCTTCAGGTGGCGGTGGAAGCAGCGGTTCGGTGGCACTGGCCCCTGCCTCGTCCTCGGCCACGGGCCCTGCCCCGTCCACGGCCCTCACTGCCGCCGTAATCACCTCCTCCAGGACCTCGGCTGCCACCTCCTCGGGCGTCTCTGCCTTCTCTTCGCCCAGGTTGTCCTCACCTTCTAGTTCGGGGTCAGCGCTCTCACTGGTGAAAGGGTCCTCGCCCTGGATGAGGAAACAGACAGGGCGGAGATGGGCCGGGAGAGGCTCCTGCAGAGGTCACTTTTGTACTTTAGGGCCACTGACACCCGTGACTCCCATCAAAGGCTGCTCCTTCGTATTTAATGAGAGAGACTGGACACAAAGACGGTGAACCTGCCGGAGGTCAAAGTGACTTACGAACTGTCAACATTAAAACCCAAAGCCAAGTCTGACTCGCTCTCAAGTCAGACTTTATGCCAAGATTTTCTCTGCTCTGGCAGCAAACTACAGTATCACCCCAAGATCAGGAAGGAAGACTGGAGGTGACGCTGGTCACAGAGAGTGCCCTCAGCACGTGCACAGTTCTAGGGCCTCCTTCCCAACAGCTAGGGTCGGCCCTGGACAGGCCTGGGCTGGTCTTCAACTCTCAACCCTCCTGTCTCAGCCTCAGGAGCCCCCGCCCGGCTCGCAGGGTTTGTGAGCAGCCTCTCACCGCCACGAGCAGGGCCCCGGCGGACAGCAGCCAGCCAGGGCGCGTGCCAGTGGGCACTGGCTTAGGGAACCGGTGAGCACAGTCCTTGCCTGCTGCATTCCATGTCCTGTAGTTTTCCAGGAGACCCGGAGATGCTGCACCCCGCCCCGCCCCGCCCTGCATACAACCCCCCTCCCTCCCCCTCCTCCACCAGAGCCCACCCTGTCCCTTGGCGCGAACCTTGAGGTACTTTTCCAGCATCTTCACTATGTGTCTGTTGTTCAGGACACTCTTAGCCACGTGCAGACTTGTCTTCTTGAACTGTTCCGCAGCCAGCTGCAGGAGACCCAAACATGGGCTCTAAGAACAGCCGAGAAGCAAGGACACAGAGCCACCAGCACCCACCAGGTGCCCCAAGGGGCAGGTGTCACCCCTCGTTGAGGCAAGCCTAAAGTGCTGGGCCTGAGAGGGCACCAAGCACCCCTGGAGAGGCAGAGGACACAGCCCCGCAGGAGAGCTTGGTGGTCTCACAATACAGGAAGGCAGACCATCGCCACCAGGCGCCCTATGTGGGAGCCAGCTACTCATGAACTGTACGCGGTACAGCCTCAGTAGGGAAAATGGGCAAAGGTCCTCAGGGTTGGTTTTCTTTTTTGGTCTTGCTGAGTCAGGGTCTCGCTGTGCAGTCCAGGCTGGCCTTGAGCTCCCTCTATAGCCCAGGCTGCTCTCGAACTCGCAAGCGTCCTCCTGCCTCAGCCTCCCGAGTGCTGGGATTGCAGGCGTGGGCCACGGCAGGCTCTCAGGTTTTGCCCTCCTGGTGGTAACTTGGTTGTTAAGCAGGATGCCGTTCCTCATGGCTGCCTGAGAGCCTGTGCACTCACACGTTACTAATTCCTTGCTTTTTTGCTGAGTACTGGGAAATGGGCGGGCAGCTATTATAGTGCTGTGTGCTAGTTGGGAAAACTAAAGATCGGAGACATCAGAGGAGAAGGCTGAGGACAACCAGCGTGCTCGCCCCTCAGCACCCGGGCTTCCTTGGTTTATCCCTGGCACAGACCCCAGCACCTGCACGAGCAGAGTACCCCCGTGTCACCAGGGGCTGGCTCCCAAGCCCCGCAGACAGAAATTCCAGACACTTGCATCCCTTACATCAAATGGCTGGCTGGCTGGCTTTGCTTTTTAGGTACCGGGGATCAAACGAGTGACCTCGCTCGCTAGGCAGGTGCTTGTGCCACTGAGCTAAACCCCTCTCTCTTTCTGTCTTTCTTTCTAACCCTTCCTGCCTCAGCCTCTCAAGTGCTAAGGTTACAGGTAAGTGCACATTTCTCCTACACTTCCGGTGACACAACCTAAAAAAGCTAACACTGCGTCCATAGTTAATGCAGCCCACAGTTCACGGAATGACACAGGGGCACTCAGGGATGATAGCCAGCCCTAGCCCTGATCTGACTTTGCTGGCTTCTGGCTTAAACACTTAGCCTCAGGCCAATCAGCGAGCTAGGACACAACCAGCCCAGGCTCGGCTCCTGTCACCCCAGAACCTGCAGTTTGTCTGGTGATTCACAGGATGCTCACAGCAGCCCTCCAGCTATGGGACTGGGTCCTTTCTAAGCAACACATGTTTTCTGCTGAGCAGCACATTTCTCGGGGATGGGTGCTCAGGAGAGGCCAGGCCGGGCCTCTGCTTCTTAAGCAGCTGGGGCCAGAGGTGGCTCACCGGACCTGGCTCCCACTCTTAACAAAGCTGCAGGACACCAGGCAAGCCAATGCCCTGCCCTAAGACCCTCAAGCAGGGAAGACAGAGGCCCGCGCCTGCCCGCCGGCCCGCGGCAGGGACTCACCCTGCGGTTGTGGTTGTGGTCCACAGAGTGCAGGTGCCGCTGGAGGAGCTGGTGCTGTGCAGGGATCAGCATGTCGCAGGCCAGGCAGTGCGCGGCCTCAATTCTCTTGAAGAAGTGCTCCTGGCCGATGCCTGTGGGGAGCCGGAGTGATGCCTCCCTCCCTCCGTTGCCCAGCAAGGCCCGCGCCCTCCCTGCTACTCTGCCTCGCTGCCTCCCTGTCTCCTGGGTCAGGGTCTCACTATGCAGCCCGATGGTCCTGTACCGACCGCATAGCCCAGGCTGTCTGTGAGTCCTCCTGCCTCGGCCTCTGGAGTGCTGGGGTCACAGGCATCCCCAAGAACTCCCTCGACACCCTCAAGGTTCAGATGGACGGAATGTGAGGCCTGCAGGCCTGCCTCTCTACGTGAGAATTTTACAGATTTCCACCCTGTCCAGTCCTCTCTTTGTACCAAGGGATAAGAAACAGCCCGCTGGATATTGGGCCAGGCTCCGGCCATGCCTGGGCTCTTCCCCCAGGACTGGACTGGGCACCCCCAGCAGCTGAGCCAGGGATAGAGCCCAGGGCCTCACTGTAACTCGCTGAGATTACAGGTGTGTGTCACCACACCCCGCTGAGGGTCCAGCCAATGCCCTGTGTGATGGACAGACAGCTGATAGCCACTTGTAACACCCAGCTGACCCAACTCTGTGTGGTGGCAGTGCAGAAGGTCTGAGGATTGTTGTCAACATTTAAAGGAAAGCCAGAGGCAGTGTGCTGCTGACTCCTCAGAAGCTGTCAAGCAGGCTTCCCTGATAGGAACTCAGCTCTTCCTGTCGTGGGAGGAGCTTTGGCCCTTGTCCCTGAGGATGGCGGTGCTTCTTTTTGGGGGGGGGGCTCCTGGCCCAAGAGCAGGACCCTCAGCCTGCGAGCACAGCTCCTTCACCCCACTGGTAGACTTTCCAGCTCCCACCGCTGGCCTCTGGGCCTTCCCAGCACAGACTCACAAAACAGACTCATGTGAGTCACTGTCATCGAGTCTAGGCCTCCAGCTGGACTCAGGCAGGACATTGCCATGGCATCCAGGCCCTCAGATGGACTTTTTGGGCCTCCAGTGTGACACAGCCTCCCACACTCCTTTGCAATTCACTCCCTGGGTGACGAGTACTATAAAATGACCCTGTAACTTGTGTCGCATATTCAGTTGTCTCCCTGGCACACCCTCGTGGCAGCACTTGGAATTACCCACATTGTGGGGGTCACAACCCACCTTTGAAAGGGTCTGGCTTTGGCTTTGGGCTCTCCTTTTCCATCAGCTCCTGCCGCCGCTTCTCAATCTTCTTGTTCCTGTTGACAATGTACTCCTGCAAAGAGGAGACAGCACCCAGTGAGATGAGGACAGCATCCTCGAGTGCCGCCCAGCGGCCCAGAGGGCCCCTCAGCTCCAGGACTCCTGCTGTCCCTGCGATGCTTGGACACACTGGAGCCTCACCTGGAGGAACTCCACCGTCTTGTCGGGCAGTTTGGTGCTTATAAACCGCAGTGTCTCCTTGTGAAATTTGCTCTGCAGGTGTTTCTGGATTTCTTCATCTTCAAAGCTACGGAACTTGCACACAGAACAGGCAAACTGAATCCTGAAGGAGGAAAATAGAAGGTGGCGAGGTGGGGGACACAACTCATTCCTGGGTATGGGTGAAATGGAAAAGGAAATGTGATTTTTGCTTCTTTGCTGAGACAAGCTCTCAGTATGCTGTTTGGGCTGGGCCTTAAACTCGAGGCGATCCTCCTGCCTCAGTCTCCCCTGGGGATTACAGGTGTGTGCCTCCACGCTTGACCTCAGGACGCGTGACCTCTAAACTAGCGCAAGACTTGTAGCTTCTAGCAGCAGCAATTACGCAAGCATCTGAAGAGCACAGCACAGCCCTGCAGGCAGCTCAGGGCAGTGACTCACGCACCAGCTCGGCGACATTCCGTCTCTGGGGCAGGCCCCTAACAGAAAACCCAGGGTGGTGACTTTTGTAAACTGTGGACTCTACAGGCCGGCTGACTGCCGTGGGCCCTATTAACTCCTCAGTGTCTCCCTCAGCTGAGTCTGCCTGCAGCCCCATTTATGGCACCCCAGTTTTGTTTCAGTGGTGCTGGGGACTGAACCAAGGGCCCCATGGGTGCTAGCCAAGTGCTCCACCTCCCAAGGCCACTGCCCAACCCCCACACCTGGCTCTGACATGACCAACACCCTGGGACACTTTTGCAGATGGGGCCAACAGCAGCGTGCAGATAACAGGAAGGTCTGTGCACAGGGCCTTCTGAAGATCCCCAGGCAAAGAACACACTCCTCCCTGCTGTATTTCACCGCCTCTGGGACAAGCGCTAACCCTTCTGAGACCTGATGAGGGTATTTTCAAGAAAAGAAACAGCTAGGCCTGCGGGTGGAAGCCTGTAACCCCAGCAATTGGGAGGCAGGGGCAGGAGGATCGATAACAGTTTGAGGCTGGCCTGGGCTACAAAGTGAGTTCAATGCCAGACTGAATTATAAAGCAAGATCTTATTTTAAAAAGCAAACAAGCACAGACAGAAAGCCAGGCACTCTGCTGGGGTGGCAGCTGGTGGCAGTGGCCTCCCGAGCACACACAAGGCCCTGAGCCTGTCACCAGGACCAAAACTCAGTTGGTCAGGGCCTCTCCATTTCCACGCAGTGAGGACAGATCTAACCTTCCCAGCTTTTATCTGCTGAAAAACCAATTTTGATGAGTTTCTGTACCACATTACTTAGGAAAACATAAACTTGAGTTCTGGTTTCCCAACCTGTTTCTGGCACTACTGGCAATACTGGGGACTGAACACAAGGTCTCTGCACTGAGCTACACCCCCAGGTTTCCATACTTCTTCAGACAGGGTCTGGTTTGGTCACTACACTGCCCTTTGGGTTCAAAAATCACAGTTCTACCCCAGCCTCAGGAGTGCTAGGACTATGGGCCAGTGGGATCATGCCCAGTGGTCAGTATTTTTACCTAGGCACTTTATGGGCAGGGACCCCACTGTCCTGTTTGAGTGTTAAGGTGCAGACAGCCCTGAAAGTCACAGAAGGAACTCTGCGCAGGGAAGCAGCTGAGTGTGGTCAAGGCCTCGGGCACCAGATGCTCCCATGGCCACCTTAACTGCACAGAGGACCCTCCACCACAGAACCCAGGGAAGCGCATGGTGTGGTCACACAGCCCCTTTCTACTTCGGCCTTCTCGGACGCTTTTTTCTATCACGTTAGAGACTGAACCCAGGCGCCATCTAAACCCACCCCAACACACCCTGTTTTTTCTGAATTTCTGAGTCAGGGTTTCGCAATGCCATTGAACTGCCTGGGTGGGATGAGGACTTTGGCCCGCCGGCCCGCCGGCCCGCCTCAGTGCTGGCTGATGGCGGGTGCCTCTCTGCCCAGCCGCTCCGTACTCTCACTCAAGTTCCAGACAGTATGCAAATGATAGGGCATCTGCATGTTTTCTGCCTATGTCGAACTCCTGAAGTAGCTTAGATATGGACCAAACACCAAGGCACCTGTAAGTGAAGATCAGGTTTTAGGGTGCCAAATGCTGAATCTGGGGAGCGGACACCCTTCTGGCCTGCTGGGTATACGTGGGCCCTAAGACCCACTAGCAAGGGGAGTTTTCGGGCAAGAACAGAAGCCCCACGTTCCCTGCGTCCCCACTCCCAGCTCTGCCGCCTTGGTCCCCGAGCCTGGTGAGGCCGCCTCACTCCTGACGCCGGAAGAAGCCAGGCCCCTGCACCAGGACGGGTGAGCACACGACAGCCTGGGCGGCGCTGGGCCCAGCCCGCTCGGTGGGGTTCCGTGCCCACCCTGGCTGCCCTCACCTATCCGCGGCCCGGTCCCGTGTCCTGTCCCTCCTCCTCTGCTTCTCTCGCCTCTTCTTGGCCTCCTCGTCCTCCTCATCCTTCTCGCCTGTAACAGAGAAGGCCTTCAAGGCGCTGACGGGAGTTGGCTCAGACCCTCACGGGCTGCAGCTGGGCTGCCGCACCCTGCGCCTGGCCTCGGCCTCCACGGCACAGCCGGTCCAGGACGCCCCAAGGCACCGAGGGGTGTGGGTGTCAAAGGCTCCTGACGGACAGGGGCCTTGCTGAGGCCCCAGAGGAGTCGCCTCAGTCCTGCGGCTGGCTGGCAGGTTGCCAGCGCGGCCTGCTGTCGGGCCCCAGCCTGGCTGCTGACCCTGTGCCCTAGCACTGAGTGTTCTCCCACTGTCACCTAAGGAGAGCAGCTCTCTCCAGGCGGAGGCAGCAGCTGGCAGGCTCACAGGAGTGCAAGCCGCCCTGCCGCCCTCTCCCCACCTCTAGGTGGGCCACGATGCCAGTCCCCGGTGGCCTGGTCTGAGCTAGGGCCCAGCAGGATCCACAGTCCTTGCTGGCCCGTCCTCTATCTTCTGTCATAAAAACTGCCAGCCCGGGGCTTTGCGCTCTCCCGGGCCACACGGGAAGCAATCCTGGAAACAAAAAATGGGAAGAGACCCGTTGGTCCTCCCGTGTGCCCTTGGGGCCAGCGTCCCCGTGTGAGGCCAGGCCGGCCTGAGGCCGGGATGCTGAACATGTTGGAGAAGCATCTGAACTGTGACCCCTACCCCTGAAGCCAGTCCCGAGACTGTCCCACGAAGATGGCGACCGGCGGGCGCTGCTCAGAAGCCTCTCAAAAGGGCGTGTGGGACTTTTGGCAAGAGGTCACTGCCTGAAACTATGACTGCTGTTTAATAGCAAAGTCATCCCGGGTAGGTAGCAGGACCTGTGCGTAACAAACACGTCACCTTTGCTTTAGCATTGACCCGCCTGCACGAGCTGCTGGACACTGGAGCGGTCCCGCACTACGGACGCAGCTGCTCCGACATGGGGCGAGGCTAGGACCCTCCCGGACACAGGGCCGGCCAGCGACGGACAGGCCAGGGAACAGCAGCGGCGGGACCGCGTCTCTAGGTCCCCGAGGGTACAGCCCTGCGCTTTCTGGCTGCTCACTGTGGGCCTGTGGGTCCGCCTCGGCCTGGCCAAGACTCAGAGCGAATAAAGGCTCCTCTCCGGGACTTTGAGCCTGGTCCCGACAGGCCACCCTGCTATGCCCCAGGCCGGTGGGTGTCTTGTCCCACTCCCGCGTAGACTATAGCTGCCAAGAGCCCCAGCACAGAGGCAAGAGCACAGCTCTGGGCTGCCAGTGGGCAAACTGGACACAGTGAAACCCAGGAGAGAACACAGAAAGCTGCACTGAGCAGGGGACAGAGAGGACAAACTAGACTGACAGCCCATCTCTCTCAGGTACCCGAGACCCCTTCTTTCTACCACCAGTGTCAGACACCAGGGACACCCCTCCTGCCCCGCCCAGCCTGAGTGAGGCGAAAGGGCTAGTTTCCAGCAATGCTGCCTTGGACACTGGGCACGCCTGGGGTGACTGCCGTGGCCACGGAGACCCAGACCCACCAAGCAGCCGCAGCCCTCTTCCACCCCGAGTGACAGGCTCCATGCAGGCCCCCTCGGGCTCAGAAGCGCCCTGCCCCACTGGGCTAGGAGCTGGGCGGTGCCCCGGGACAGCCACTGAGCAGCAGTGCGGACACGGGTGATACCTACCTCTCGGCCTCCCGGCGTCGCCGAACTCGTCCTCCTGGAAAAAGCCCAGATCAAGTCAGACACAGAGGCATTCTTAGAATTTCCACAGCTGGCCCAGCCCCCTTCTGCCATCTGTGTGTGGCATGGCTGGAAGACCTAGGGTGCTAGGCCTTCCAAACACAGGCACGCTGGGGAGGGAAACGCTGAGGGCCTATGCCTGGAGCCCGAGCCCCTGTTACTACTTCTGGGCGCCTTAAAGACCAGGACGAGGACCGTTTGGTCCCCAGATCACTGACCTTCCTGTACTTCTACCACTGGAACACCTGCCTCCTGGAAAATGCATACCCACAGTTCTGCACCCCAGAATGCCAGATGCCGTCTATCAAGAGAAGGCTAAGACATTCTGATTTGTGTCAGAGTTTTTTTTGTCTGTGTCCTGTCTTTTTAAAGACAGAGTCTCGCTATGTGGTTCAGGCAGGCCCTGGGCTCACTTTGTGGCCTAGGCTTGTCTTGAACTCACAACGATTCTCCTGCCTCAGCCTCCTGAGCACTGAGATGACAGAGGTGCGCCACCATGCCCAGCCTATTTTTTGTTTTTTAAAAAGAAGTCTCAACGTGCAGCCCAGGGTGGCCTCAGGCTCAAGGCAATCCTCTTGCCTCAGCCTCCTGAGTGCTGGGATCATGGGCCTTAGCCACAACTTATTTTTTCCTTTTGAGACAAGGTCCCATTATGTAACCCAGGCTGGCCTTAAACTCATGGATGGCAATCCTCCTGCATCACCTCTGGAGTGTTGGGATTACAGGTGTGCCTTACCACCCACTGACCACACACCTCTGTAATTCCACCTTTCTTGATTAAAAAATGGACTTTACCAACGTATGTTTGTATGCGCTCAGCATTCTAACAAATGAACTGAATCCTAACTGAAAATCTGAACAGAGCCAGTGTCTCAGGCAACAAGTCCAAGATTAAATTAGCAACCAGGAGAGTCTCAGATTCCCAGTCTGAATCTGGTGAATGGGGAGCAAGAGGAACTGACAACAGCTTTCTCAGGCACCCAAGGCCTCCAGGCCCTGACCCATCATGGGTCAGCACCTGCAGACAGTAAAGAAAGCAACCTCCCCGAGATGCCGAGATGCAAGGTACCAGGCACTGGGCAGGTGCTCCTTTCAACATGGGACACGAGGACTGAGAGGTGAGGACACAGGCCAGCTCCTGGCACACAGCCCGTAGCCAGTGACCCTCTGGTATGGTGTGCCAGCCTGTATTTATCATATTAAGCTGCCAGACCCAACACTGCAAGGCCACAAGAGAGGGTGGGGAAAGTGCTGGAAGCCTTTTTAGGAAGGGAACAATCTCTGCAGTCGCAGACTCAGAGATCCAGCTATAGGCTGTGGTCCCAAATCCACTCAGAGGTACACAGAGTGGAGTGCACTAGGAAAGCTGTTCCCACCCCTGTGAGATTCCATAATAAAGAAGGGCCTGCAAGACTAAAGGGGCTGACCCGAAAGGGGAACTTACACCCCGCATCTCTTCATCTCCTGACCGGAAGTCACCAGCTCCATCGTCTGCCAGACACAAAGGGATAGGTAAGGTCAGCCTCTGGGGCAGGCGTACCTATTTTGCTCTGCTCTCCCAAGCTGTGACTTGGGTGACAACCTGTACGGACCAAGGGACGATGGGAAATGCCACCCTAGTAACTGTGTGTGGACAGCCTGGACGGCCCAGGGAGTACCCCAGGCAGGGAACTGGCTCATCTCACACCCACCCGGCCTGCTGGGCCCCAGGTGTACCGTTGTCCGAAAAATCGCCTTCGCTGTCAGCGCGAACCAGTTTGGCATCCGGCTCCTCAAACAGAGGAAACTGCTTCCGCTTTCTGCCCACACTGTCAGGTCCAAAGCGCTCAAACCCTCTCCTCCTGGGCTATAGACACAAGCACATCCCATGTTCCACCTTCTCTGGAGCAGTAAGACACCCCGCAGAAACGAAGAGAACTCGCAAGATCAGAGAACAAAGGCAGGAGAAAGCTGAACGCAGTTAAAATTTAAAGCAAACATCCCTCTCAGGGGAAGCAGCCCAACTGTGAAAGGCTGCTGATGTGAAATGTCCAGGAACAGAGGAGCCAGAGACAAAAGCAGATAGGGGGCTGAAGGGGACCAGCGGAGGAACGGAGGGCAGCTGCGTGTCGCTGTGGTTCTCTCGGTTGATGCACTGGATTGTGGCAACAGAGGCACAATTCCCTAAACTTGCTCAAAGTGGAACCCTGACCTCATGTGAGTGCATCTTGCAGGATATAATTTCACCTCAATAGAGCGAGCTGTTGAGGAGAAGCCAAGGTGCCCGCGGAACACCGAGTACTCACCCGTTCTCTCATCCGAGCCTGAGACCGGCCACATCCGTACGGCATGGTGCTGTCGTAGCCCCCTGCCCCCTGCATCTCCATCATGCCGTAGTCAGGCGCCATGGACTGGGAGAAGAGGGGTGGGGGCGGCCTGCTTGGGGAGGGGCCACCCAAGCCCCGGCCCCCCATGTAGTTCAGCTCGTTCCAGGAGGCGGGGAGGGGTTCGGCGGGCGCCGAGGGGGGCAGGAAGGGGTCACTGCGCATGAAGCTGCTGGAACTGCTCCGGTCTTGGAAGCGGCCCGGGCCGGGGCCCGTCCCTGTCCCTGGGCCCTGGCTCTGGCCCCGGCCTCGCATGAAGCCATCAAGGGAGCCTCGCTCCCGGGCTGGGTCCCTGCAGTCACTGTACTGCCCACCAAAACTGCCATTGCGGTCGGTCCCCAGGTCAAAGTCATAGTCGTAGTTGTAGCTGGGGCGGTAGGGGTTATGCTCGGGCAGGCAAGGCCTGGAATCGTAGGACTCGTATGGCTGGAAGCGGAAGGAGCTAAGAAGGAAGGGACACTCATCAGGTGTGGCCCGGACCCCCCCCAGGCCACCCAGGCCACCCAGGCCGACGCCCTGCCCTCTTCTGAGGCCAGCTGAACACCTCCCACAAGGTGCCCCTCAGCTTTCCTGCCTGCCACGTCAATGTGCAAAAGGCAAAGCAGCCCAACACCCCTCTAGACATCACTGAATGAAGGGTGCAGCACCCCTGGCCACAGAACCGAGACAAGCGTGACACAGAACTAAGACATCTCAGTCCACAGCTCCAGACACCACTTAGGAAACCAGAGACTTAGGGAGCTCAGCAGCCCACCCCCCACCCCAGACGGCCCAGCTTGTCCTGCCGCACTCAGGAGAGGCGAGACGGAGCAGATACCCATCCCCATCTGTGCATCTGCGCTGGCAGGGGTCCCCCAGGTAAGGGCTCAGATCCATAATCACCTCTCCCGGTCCTGCATGCCCTCCCCACCGCTGCTGCTCCCGCCCCTGCCTCCTTCCTTGGACATCATGTCCAAGCGCTGGTTGATCTTGGCAATGAGCGAGTCAGAATTGTCGTTGCATGGTTCTGGGCCGTAAGAGGCCATGTGCATGGAAGGGCCACCGGCTGCCAGGCCACCATCACTGGCTTTGGTGGCCTCCCACGAAGCGGGGCCATAGCTGTAGGTCGCTCCTGCGGTGACGTTGGTGCTCTGGGCACCATAATAATTGAAATTGTCATAACCTGTCGGAAGGAAGAGGAAAGAGATCAGATTTCAGCAGCCACAGGTGCACAGCACCCACCAGCCACTGTAAAGGACAAAGTTCCCAGCACCCAATGCCGCGGGCACACACCATGTATGTGACCAGCCGAGAGGCAACAGGAGGCCAGAGGGATAGGAAGCCTTGACTCTGAGCACTGATTTTCCTGGGTCGGACCCTACAACTTACCCCGCCCCGAGCCAGAGGCACTGAGCGCCCCACAGAGGAAGGCTGGGCTGCGGACACCCTGCATGACACCCCTGCTGCCATTTCTTCTGAGGCTGGGCCAGCCCGGGCTGGCCTCTTCCTCACAAGGAGCCAAGGAACTCGCACAAACTCCCTCGGCCCGTCCTGTCCGCCCACCTTCAGGACAGCTACCAGCACTGCGCCTGGACCCCACAAAGGGCTTACCTTGCCAGCTGGCCACGCCACTTCCGTATGTACCTGAGGAGACATAAAAACACACAAGGGCTTCATAGGCAGAACACGAGTGCCTGGAACCGGGGTGGAGGGACAGGAGCCACCTCGCTCTGGAGGAGCCGGGCAGCCAGGCCACTGCCATAGCAGTGCTCAGAGAGCACCGGGGACGCATCTTGCTGTTCTCCTTTCCCACAGAAGGGGCCAGCACCTTCTGGGTTCCCTCCCAGGTGAGCCCTGCTTCCTCCCCTGGGCAGGCAAAGAGAGCTGTGCCCTCTGGAGAAGCCAGCTGGGAGGCCAGCCTGGCTGAGGCCCAGGTTGGGCCCTAATAAAGAATCAGCTTGCACCAGAAGCCAGAGCTCAGGCACCATCAGCCACTCTAACAAGGCAGCAACCAAAACTCCCATCTTCAACGGAGCCTCTGGGACACAGGACACTGATGGGCCGGGCAGCAGCCCTGCTCCCAGTGGTGTTAGGGCAGCCCCCAGGCTCCTAAAACAAAGGGCACCATCTTCCCCTAAAACACTGGCTGGCAGAAAGCAAACAAGAGATGCTGCTATCAGGGAGCACCTCCAAACTCGGGAAACTCTCCATCTGAACTCTAGGGCAGAGATCAGCGACAGCCCCAGGCCACATCCAGCTCACTGCTCCTTTCAGTACAGCCCTCAAGCTAAGAGTGGGTTTTACATTCCTAAACAGAGGAAAAAACACCGGAAAGGAGACCCCACGATGTAGGTACACCATGGATGGAATTCTATGTACCAGCTAAATTCTTTAAATCTAAAAATACCCTGGGAAGTTTATTAAAGGAAAAACTGCACTCTCAAATATTTATCTACAGTATTAGAACAAAAAAGCTTTTGCAAGACACACCATTGTATGACACATGGAAATGAGGACGAGACTTCAGGGTGCAGAGATAAGTACTAGCACGTTATCAACCAGTTTGTATCATCTGTGCTGATTGTGTACTAGCTGAAGACATGGACTACGCGACCTAGCAGAAGAAATGTTTGCAGGCCCTTGGCTTGGTGCTGCCATGCCAGGGCCCTGGATCGGGGACCCAGTGCCTCACTCATGATGCAGATCCCACTTACCCTGAGTGTTGGCAGGTCCAGCACTCCAGGCCCCATATCCTGCAAGAAGACAACACTGTTAAAGAGTCTGTTCACAGGGGCGGGGATTTAGCTCAGTGGCCTAAGTGCCACCCTTGCAAGCCCTGGTACCACCAAAAAAAAAAAAAAAAAACAAAGTCTATTCATCCTAAAGCTTCTAAGACTAGAGCCAAGACCAGCACTACAGATTATTGACCAAGATTAATGATGTCACCCATGTACCCTTGCTACCATTAAATCAGTATTACCTAAACAACTATTCTTACAGTCTTACTGGTTGATCACAGTTTGACCTATGTTGTACCCGTGTCATGACTTTGCTCTACAAAACTCCCTTCGAGAGGTGGGCTTCCTTGGCTACCCATTCGGGACCCCTTTCTGTCTCTCTGGAGCTCTTCCTATTCCCCATTTGTTTTCTTCAATATACGGTAAACCTAAAAACAAAACAAAGATTCTGTTTTTCAGGCCAGGGATACAGCCCAGAGGCACAGTGCCTGCCTGGCAAGCACAAGGTCCTAAATACAAAACAACATCCACCAAAACACAAAAACCAGTTCTGCTATCACACTAAAGAATGGGGCCTGGAAGCTCGGAGACACTAAAGGGCTGGCCTCACAGGCGTTAGTGTAACCCAGCACTGCCTGCACTCTCGCAGTCACCCCCATCGACTGACTGCAGCATATTACTCCACCAGGCTGAGTGGAAAGAAGGGGGGGGGGTTGGGCTGGCAAGTGAGTCCTGTCCTCATCCACAGGGAGCCTCAGCACAGAACCCCCATTTCAAACTTCAATCTACAGCTAAGGATGGCACAGGCAGACAGAATCCCCCAACCTTTCTGGCCCACAGAAATGGAAAACCAGCTCAGACTGCTGCAGGGGACACCCCATCACTGGGAACGTAACTTGGGTAACTTGGGAATTTAATGACGTAAAACCATGGCTTTTTGGGTTTGACTTCCACGAGATATTTAAATCCCTGCAATGGCTTCCTGGGCCTTTAAGTTCCAGGGCCTCAGCCTGGCCCCCAGAGACCAGACTGCCCTCCTACCCCTCCAGGCAAGCATGTGTACATCACACTTTTTAAATTTCTAAGTTCCTAGAGCCCAGCACACAAGTGGGCAGTCAGCTGGCTGGCCATGCTGTCAAAATGACTCCATTATGAGGACCCCAAGATGTGTCCTCATCTCCCTCGCCAGGACCCCCACCACCAAGTCAATGCCGGACCCAGCCAACAGCACATGCCATGGTCCCTGATTGCCACTCAGAGAGGACAGAGCAAAAGCTCACAAGCTAGGGGACCTGACCCATGGTCCTGCTGTGACTCACATTTCCCCTCTGATCATCTCTAAAGGTACAACAACAGAAAAGTAGCAGGCAGTTCTAAAAGTGACCAAACTTGGGGCCTCCTTGTGAAGTACTGAGCTATCATTCACTTAATCTCAAAACATTTCTGGAAATACAATCAGGGAGGCAGCAGTATCTTAATCTAAAAGAAAGAGACTGCAACTCTCTAGGGGTACAACATGACGTTTCTGAAAAAATATCTGGTAGGGAAAAAAGGAAAAAGAAATAAAAAAGAAAACTAGTTTAAAAAAAAACCTGGTAGGAAAACCAAGAATGGGAGATCTAGCCAGACCCTGAAAAGCTTGAGGTTCTCAGTTTGATTCCCCAATCCCTGCCTCAAAAACAAACAAAAAATTCAGGCTTTGCTGAATATGATGGAGCACCAGTAAGGCCAACACCCCAGCAGGCCGAGGCAGGAGAATCCCAAGTTTAAACCCAGCCAGGGGAACTTAACGAAAGGCTGTTTATAAATTTTAAAAAGGGATGGAAATGTTGCTGTGTGCTAAGGGTCTGCAATCAATCACCAGTAGTGAGGAAGGGGAGGCTGCCCCAGGATCAGACGGTGTAGGCTATTTTTTTTTTGGGGGGGGCTGTCTTTTTTGAGACAGGGTCTCACTATGTGGTACAGGCTCCCCTGGGGCTTACTTTGTAGCCCAGGCTGGTCTCGAACTTGCCACGATCTGCCTGTCTCAGCCTCCCGAGTGCTGGGGTGACAGGCGTGAGCCACCAGGCCCGGCTCCGGTGTAAACTATTTATCCCCCACCCTGTATGTTAATTATTCCGCGAATCTGGCTCTCAGCACGATGCCAGGCCTCCAGGGAGGCTGCGACTCCAGAGACAGGAAGTAGGTAGGCCCCACTACAAGGAAGTCTCGGAGACCAAATGGGAAAAAGGGCACGTTGCCTCCCACGGCAACCCATGGCTCCTCTAGGCCACCGTACGGGGTGACCTCAAAAAGAACCCGAAAACACCTGGTTTCCGACTTCGCACGAGGAAATACTTCCTCTCCAGTCCTACCTCGTCCTACGCCGGCCTCGTCTCCAGCGACCTATGCCTGCACGAGCCCGGCACATGGCAGGCGCCCGGCGGAGCCCCGGGCCAGCCTTGCGGGAGGCCCGGGCCGAGCTAACGCCCCGAGAGGGAGCGCATACTGCCCCGGACCCCGACTTGGGCCGCGGCTCCTGCCGCGCGCTGAGGCCCCGCCCCCGGCGCCGCCATTTTGTGGCGTCCTCGGTAGAGGAAGGCGGGACAGCATACGCCGAGGGCGCCGGCGCCAGGTCCAGCAGCTTTCCGCCGGCGTTTGGGGACTGCACCGCCCGAGGAGCCCCCGAACCCCACAGCTGCGCCAGCCCCGCCCGGCCCTGTTGGCCAATCCGCTGGCGGCGCCCCGGGAGCGACTGCGCGGAGCCCCAATGGGGAGCGCGCGCGCGCTGCGGCTGCCTCTCTACAGGGCCGCTCTGCAGTCGCGGCGCTCGGGCCGAAAGCCCAGGCATGCAAACCCCGCGCGGTGGCGGCGGCGGCGGCTTCCTTCCCCCGACAGCGCCTTCCCACCCCGCGCCAAGGTGCCCATACTGACCTCCGTAGCCCTGGTCCATGTCTCCGACTGAGCCCGCCAGCCAACCCTCTTTCCAGCCTTCCACAGGACGCTCGCGTTTAACGTACCTTCCGCCGCCCGCTACTGGAAGACTAGAGGTGCGTCACTCCTCCTGCACGCTCCCATTGGCCGGCCTTCGAGGAGGCCCCGCCCTGCCGCCCAGCTACTTTCTGGGTCTCAGGATTCGAGCCCGCAGCATCTCGGGAGTTGTGGTCGAGTTACAGCGTCAGAGTCGGGCACGCGCCAAGCGCCTCCCAACGCGCCCGCCCGCCCACCGTGCGCAGGCGCACCACGCCCTCCGCGCCGCCCAAGGACACACCGACGCGGGGAGAGAGGGAAAATTTTTATTATGCTCAATCTCCAGGCTCGGGCCGCGGGCCGGGTCACGGGGCGCCCCCGCCGCCTTCCTCGTCGTCCTCCACGTCAAGGCCCGGGATGCCGCGGATCTGCCGCTGCAGCGCCCCGCCCAGCAGGGGCACGGCGCCCTCCTCTTCCTCCTCGGGGGGCGGCGGCGGCGGGGGCGACGCGGGCTCGGGCGCCGGCTCCGGGGGCACCGGGGGCGGTGCGGGGACGCCCTCGGCCCCCAGGGCCTCGCCGGGCGCGGCCTCGTCCAGAGCGCCGCCCTCCGCCTCCTCCTGCTCCTTCTCCTCCTCGGGGCTGTCGGTGAAGGGGTTCTCGCCCTGCGGGAGGGAAGGAGGCACTGAAGTCGGGGAGCACGGGGCGAGGCCGGGCCGCCGGGCAGGGCTAGGGGCAGCTCCGCCCTCACCTTCAGGTAGCGCTCCAGCTTCTTGCTGATGAGCTTGTTGTTGAGGATGCTGCGGGCCACCATGAGCGAGGACTTCTTGGACTGCTCCATCATGAGCTGCGGGCAGGGCAGGGCAGGGCAGGCAGGGCTGGAGAAGCCGCAGCCGGGGCTGGGGCCCGGGCCCGGGCTCGGGCTCGGGCCAGCCCACCCGCCCCAGCCTCTCCAGCTCACCCTCGGCTCTGCCGCCACATCCTGCCAGCGGAGGCGGGCAGGGAGGCCGAAACACGGCCTAGTGACTCATTAGGGTTAGAGTTAGATGTGCATGGCTCCATATATTTAAGAAAATTAGGAAGTCGGGCTGGGAGGCACATGCCGCTCGGGGAGGCCGAGGCAGGAGGACTGAAAGTTGGGTGTCCAATCTTAGCAATTTAGAGCTCATGCCTCAAAAGAGCTGGGAGTGTGGTTTAATGTGAAGATCCCAGATTCAGTCCAGGAAAAAGGAAAATTATTTTAAAAGCCAAAGGTGTAACTCAAGAGGCATTAGCTGCCCTAACATCTAAGTAGCATTTTAGGGTAAAGAAAGAATTTTTTAAAACAGGAACACAGTCAAACAGTCCACGGAAGTGACATCCGTCCTTTTAACCTGTAGGATACGGGAATGAAGAAGTTTACCTGCAGCAATGAGAAGACTGTAAAGACTTCTCTGCTGGTGGAAGGCAGCTCTTTACACAGTTTTAGAAGGCAGTTTGGTATTTGCATCGGTGACCCCTATCCCTGAGTTTAAGGCCTGGGCACACACATGCACACTGTTTGCAGGGCTGAAAAACTGGAAAGCACCTCAGTGTTCCTCAGTGCAGAAACCAAACTGGTCACACATCTGAAGAACACTGTGCGTCCCTAAAGTCCTCTCCTCCGCCGGCACAGTAAGGAAAACAGCACAGCAGCTGCGGCAGTGCACACCTGCAGTCCCCGCACTCAGCCAGGGTGACTACTAGAGCACACCCAACCTGAGCGATTTAGCAACTGAGCAAGACTCTATCTTAAAATAAAACAATATTAAAAACGGCTCAGAGCTGAGGGTAGTGGGGTATGCCTGTAGTCTCTGCAGGAGGACTGCTGTGAGTTCAAGCCCAGTGTAAGTTCAAGGCCAGCCTAAACTATACAGACCCTGTGTCAAAAAATCAAAACAACAACAACAACAAAAAGAAAGCAAAACAAAAGCCTCAATTCAATGCGCATTCTGGGGGAAATAATGGTGTGTGTGAACAATCTATCCTGTGCCCCAGCTGTTCTGTCCGGAAAGATTATACCAGGATGTTCCATCCTCAGTGGTGGGACTCCCTCACTTTATCACAACAAAGCCATAGCAGCAAAGGGGTTAAGATGCCACCTCCAGGAACCTTGTGGAGCCCAGATAACCACAGAAAGCCTCTTGTTTCTACGCCCCAGCCCACATTCACCTGCTTTCTCTACTACTCTGAGGAAGTATATTAACAGGCCTCATGCGTGCCCGTGACAGTGTTGGAGGCATGCCCTCATAGGGACCCCAAACCCGCCGCACACGCCTCCTCCAGGGCCCAGGTAGATATATTACAAGCTTTCCCAACAAGACACATTTAGGCTGCTTCCAGATTTTCATCCCAATAACCACCAAAATAATAAATGCTGCTGGGCTTGTGCTCTGAATTCTACCCAAACAGCCTCCCCAAAGTGACAGTGTCTGATTACACTGGGGAGAAAAACTTATGCTTCCTCTAACTGCATTTGTGAGCTTAGGAGTTGGAGGCCAGCCTGGGTCAAGTTGCCAAGGACAGGTCCAGAATGAGCCAGAGGTGATCCACACTCTGGAGGCTGAGGAGGCAGGATCACTCTGAGTTCAAGGCCAACCTAGTGTAGGCAATGAGTTCTAGGCCAGCCTGGGCTACAAAGTGAGACCCTGTCTCAAAGAAACAAAGCCCATCGGCACTGGATGTCACCACTGGCATACTTTTGCTGCTGCATGAAAACAGCTTCCGCCTGCCTCAAGGAGGCCCACTCCTCTTTGGTGTCTGGACTTCCTGGCTTGCTCAGGAAGGCTTCCACACTCAGAGAAAACAAGCCACACACATTTTCCCGTTGGTTTACATTTACATTTTCTGGGACTTAATAGTACGAAACAGGGGTCCAACTTTCTTGTCCAGAAATTTATAAAACAAGCTATTATTTCCCACTAATAAAAATACAGATTCACACTCCTATGTATAAATCTGAAATCCTCAAAGCTCTAGAAAATAGAAGATTCCTAAAAAACAGAGTCCTCCCCAAGAATTCATTTGGTGGCAGAACACAGCCCACACTACATTGCTATGCCATTCTTGTTTATGCCACTTGCACAAGCCACTCCAATTATTGATTATTCAAACACAAGGACTTTTCCCAGGTCCTGCTGGGGTCAGTGGTCATACTGTAGTCTCTCTGAAGCACCCAAATTAAACCAAGGTCAGCCCTGAGGGCTGAGCGAAGGGACCTGTGCTGGCCATAGACTAAGCTGTGAAACATACCCAGGCCTCTTCCAAGAGCCTCTATTTTGGTTGCACTGTTTTGCTTTCTGTTGTTTGAAATTGCACTGGCTGGGCCAGGGATTTAGCTCAGTGGCATAAGTACCTGCCTGGCAAGCTTGAGGTCGTGAGTTTGATTCCTGGTACTGCAAAAAAATCAAAACAAAAAAAACCTGACAAATAAATTGCACTGGATTTGTAATGATTTTTATTTGAGGTGCTTGAGCTCAAACCGAGGCCCTCAAGCATGCTAGACAGCTGTTATCACTGAGCTATATCCCCAACCTATAACACATTTTCTCTGAACTCATGACTGCATTTTGTGTAATATTTTCTTTTTGAAAACTCACGCCCTCGAGTTTGCCAGGCAGGCCTTCCACCACTGAGTTAAATCCCTGGCTCTGCTATGTAATCTTGCAATGTTTTGTCAGGCGCAGAATTACAGGTGCTGCGTGTAGGTACTTAGGTGTGAAAGATGTAAAGTCATCAGCCAAGCATAGTGGGACGTGCCTATTATGCCAGCACTCTGGGAAGCTAAGGTGGGAGAACTGTAAATCTGAGCTCCATCTGGCTGATTTCACAATTTAGGGAGAGCCTGTCTTTACTTTTATTGTTTTGGTTCCAGGGACGGAACTCATGGCCTCATAATTGCCAGGCAGGTACTTATGCCGCTGAGCTAAATCCCTGGCCCAAGCCTGTCTCTTTAAATAAATAAAAAGCTAATCTCACAGAAACAGAGTAGAACAGTGGTTAAGAATGGCTGAGGAAGGGGCTGGGGATTTAGCTCAGCGGCATAAGCGTCTGCCTTGTAAAGCAGCCAGTCGTGAGTTCACCCCTGGTACCGATAAAAAGGAAAAAGACCAAAAAAAAAAAGAATGGCTGAGGAAGGCAAAGAGGAGGGAGAGAGGGGTCCAGAGCCGACAGCACAGAGGAACCACCTCTGACCTGTGACCTCCTGTACCACAGGAGGCAACTACTGCTGCTGACTGTGCCTGGTCCAAGAGAGAGAGAACTGCACATCCCCAGCGCAGAGAAGCACAAATAGCTCTGCACATGCGCTCTGCACACGTGTAATGCAGCATCACACTCTACCCTGCAGTTATGTGCAGTTAATGTGTCCACTAAAAACCAAAGTGCAGAGGGGCTGGGGACACGCAGCTCAGTGGCACAGGTACACTGGACTCTGAGTGCAGGTCCCAGCACCAGGAGAAACACGTACGCCCACGTACACAGTCACTCTGTAAAGCAGGACGCTACAACCCTGTGGTCTCCCCATCTCCCACTGACCTCGGTGCTGGTCTGCACCCCCACACTGCTCGGGGGACAGGGGCCCTGCTGTGCTGTGCTATCCACAGCACTCCTACCTAAGAGCGCCGCCCGCTCCCTGCACTGGGGCCTTGTGCCACACTCTTGGAGGCCCTGCGGTCACTCAGTAGGACACCCTGTTTGTTTTCAAGTGTTATCTTTTTAGGCTGCCCAGGTTGGGCTCCAGCTTGCAATCCTCCTGCCCCAGCTTCCCCAGCAGCTGGGAATGCAGCCATGCACGACCATGCCTAGCTCACAGCTTTCCCCCACAGCTTTCTGGTTAGATCTGTGGTCCTAAACACTTCCTACAGTGTATGATCGCGGTCAGGCTTTCCCATCATTTATGTTTCCAGTTGGTTATTACTAGTATAGAGATAAATACAAGCCGGGTGTGGTGGCTCATGCCTGTAATCCCAGCACTCCGGAGGCTGAGGTGGGAGGATCATTGCGAGTTCCAGACCAGCCGAAGCTCACAAAGTGAGCTCAACACCGGCCTGAACTGCATAGTGAGACCTTGTCTCAAAAAAAAAAAAAAAAAAAAAAAAAAAAAAAAAGAGAGATAAATACAAGCTTTTTGCATGCTATCTTAGATTCCATCCCCTTACCAAATTCTATTAATTTTAAAAATAATTTGCTGGATATATTTGAGAGTATAGCTCAGTAGCATGCCTGCCTGATAAGCACAAGATCCTGAGTTTGATTCACAGTACAAAAAAAAAAAAAATTTAATTTGTTGGAAAACGTGAGACCTTGTCTCAAAAAAAAAAAAAAACAACAAAAATTTTCTGCAATCATTTGGATTCCTTAGAATTTAATCCCATTATTTTTTCAGTGTTTTCCTTTTATAACAAAAATGTTGCTAGTTTTTTAAACTCCCCTTGTGTACCAGAGACAAAGCCCAAAGTACTGTATATATCTGCATCATTACTAAATTGACATTTACTTAACATTTTCCCTTACTACTTCTATGCAGCTAGTAAGAAACTTACCTACTTTTTTTTTTGTTTTGTGGTTTTTTTTTTTTTTTTTTTTAAACTTTTAACTTTTCATCGGTATCAGGGATCGAACTCACAATCGCCTGCTTGCAAGGCAGGCGCTTATACCGTTGGGCTAAATCCCCAGCCCCTTGTTTTGTGTTTTGAGACAGGGTCTTACTAAGCAGTTCAGGTTGCCCTTGAGCTCACTTTGTAGCCCAGCCTGGTTCTGAGTTTGCAATAACTTTCTTGCTTTAGCTTTGAGTGCTGGGATTAGAGGAGTGCAGGGATTGCAGACATG